TTTAGCAAAAATTAGTTTAAAAAAACTATTTTTTTTTACTAACCGTTATTGGAGCAGATAAAACAGTTGTATTTTAGTTGTTAAAAATTTCGAAGACCTGTTCGGTGGAGCACTTTTCGTGATCGACAACAACACAATACCGATTGTTGTCGGTTTCGATAATTAGCTGTAAACCATAAAATGGATCATTTAAATAAACGTTCGAGAGGGTTGTATTGGAAATTGTCGATTCGTCTGTTTTGCATGAAAAGCTGATTTAAAAATTGAAAGCAACTTATACGGTATGTAAATTTTGTATCAGTATAATACAAACAAAAAGAAAAATAAATGATAAAGAAAAAACAGAAAAAAAAAAAGAGGAACAACAAATTCTAATAATCTATCAGTGATAAAATTTTCAGGAAGAAAGAAAAAATACAACAACACTGACAAAAAAAATAAAGAAATAATAGGAAGAAAAACTGCAACATTCATTTGGTGAGTCATTTAAAATTGAATTTCAGCATTCTATTCTCAAACAAAGCAAACGTCATTTTAATCTTAAACCTCTTTTTTTTTTTCTTATTTTAAACTGGCATTGTCATAAATCAATTGATTTGATCAAGAAATATGAAAGGTACCAAAAACAATGATAAAAGGAAGGCTGATATTCTGCAGAACTCAAAGTTATGAACGTATTTGGTTGTTTTGCTCCTTGTTTAGACGATACATTTGAAGCAACGTTTACAAATATCAGTTTTAGCTTCTGTAATAATTCAAACCTTTGTCAAACTTCTATAAAACTCAAGAGTTGTGACTGACAAGAGTTGTACGCTTTTTTTATAACTATTAAATTTTCTTTGGGTTTTCTCAGTTACTAATTTATCTGCATTCAGCATTTAAAATAGAAGAAATGTTAGCAAAAAAAAAGTTTTTAAATTAAATTTATTGCTTTATAAGTAGCTGAAAAAGAAGAAAGGTGAAATTAGAAATAACAGTTTTGTTTAAAAACTTCTGTACTTTTTTTAACGATAATTTTATAAGTCTAGGCTTAAATTATGAAAATATTTTAGGGGACTGTAAATTGTACAGAAATGTTTAAAACTGTTTCTTCTCTTGTACGGTGTAGAGGTTTCAAATATGTCTGAAAAAGAAAAAAAGAAGAGAAAGAAGAAGACAACTATCAAATATTGTCTATAATAAGGTTAAAACAAAACAAAGGAAAACAAAAAAGTTGGAAGTATCCAAATGCATTGTCAAACTCAGCATTGTTCTATAAATTCAGTGTACCAAAAAAACAAAGATGAAAAATGTATGATAAAAGTTTTGATCAGTTAAAATTGAAAACGATTTCGTTTTTTGGAATAGCAGTACAGAAATTTTGTTGTTGCTAAAAACACGTGGTTCACACAGCTGAGATTATGACAAAAATATCAATTTCTCTGACTTTTTTTGCTTAGTTATTTTTGAATAAAAAGTTCTGCTAAAAGTCTAACAGTGTTAAGGCACCAATTTTCAGCCAGACAAAACTGTTTTACGAGGGCAACAGTTTTATAGAATACCAAAAAATATCTTATCAAATTCTAGCAAATCGATGTTACTTGAAAATACAGCTATCAACAAAAAAACTGCTAAACTCTGTCAGGTCTTTATTATTATTATTATTATTATTATTATTATTATTATATTATCAATGATATTATAATAACAGTAATACCAATAACTAATACCATTATTATTATTATTATTATTATTATTATTATTATTATATCAATGATATTATAATAACAGTAATACCAATAACTAATACCCTATTATTATTATTATTGTTCCTATTATTATCATTATACTGTTGTTATTGTTATTGTTGTTATTATTGATATTATTATTAAATTTTTCACTACTTTATCATCTATATATTGTTTTTTATTCAATGAAACACTGTTCTGTAGATGATTTAAGTTTATAACCTAATTAGAAAAAAGAAAAAAAACTGAATAACTAAATTACATTTGTTTTTGTTTTGTTAAATACAGCAAAAATTTTTCAATTATTTATTAAATGTACAAAGCGAAATCATTGAATAGTATCCAAATGTTGTACAGTAATCAATCTGTAAACTATAAAGCAATAAAGAAATTACTGTTTGACACAGCAGTTTAGAAAATATTATAAAATTTAAAACAAAACAAAGAAAAAAAACGATAAAATATTATTTTGGAGCTATAATATGTTTAAATTGAAAAATTACTTCTGTTACAATTGCTGTTACACTTAACTGGGCAAATATTTTCTTTGACGATATAGGCAGTTGCATAAATTATCCAAAAATTGCATGGATACAGTGAAAGAAAAGTGGAAAACAAAAAAGCAGTACTAATAGAAAATTTGTATTTATTAAATGATAAAGTAGCAGTTTTTGGCCGACAGTTTAACGTTTCTCAAAAACAACACCTCTGATGTCATTGAAATTTTCTATAAATTATTATTATTTTAAGCAAAAATTTTATCTTACTTTTTTTTCTATCTTTTTTTTTTCGTGTGTTTGCGCAATTAACACTGCACAATCCAAGCTTCTTCTTTACCTTAAAATAGTCATCAAAAAGCCAAAAAAGAGCAAAAAAGAGCAAAAAAAAAAATTGAAGAAAAGAAAAAGTTGTGAAATTTAACTGCAATATGTTGAATAGCAAATTTATATATATATTTTTTTTTTCAAAAAAGCTTTAGTTGTTTTATGCAGTCAACAACCTAATAAAACATGTAAATCTAACACAGAATACCTCTGTTTTTTTTTTTTTTTT